CTTCGATAAAAAATAAATTTTTTAAACGAAAAATAAATATAGCTACTTGGTATTTTGAGAAGGGAAGCAAACTATATCTAACCTCGCTTGTTTAGACTATTTTTTCCCTATTTATTCCTACCAGATTCTGCTGTTCCTAGGATTACACTCGCGTTTTCCTCTACCGTGCTCCCACATTCTCGCTTCCCCCAGAAACTGCCATCTATATCTAATGCTTGATCTTGTGATTTCTTGAAAAGGACAAAGACCGAAGTCCATTCAAGGCCAGAAGACGGCTTTTTTCTCCTAAGAAACTGTCAGCCAAGTTTCTCAGGGACGAACTGGAAATAAAGTGAGAGACATTGATAAATTTCCCTTCTGAACAATCAATAAAAGCTCCACCGTCCTGCTCAGACTCCCACTGTGGAAGCAAGGGCCGTAATTACATTGTCAAAAATTCAAGCTGCCCGGGCTGACAGCGACCCCCTGGAAGAGTGACATGTGATTGGCACTGGGTTTAGGGCGGGGAACGCAGATTGGCAGGCGGAGTGGGGAAGGCGAACGGCAAGATTGTGAAATTTCCTCTTTGACGACAAGCACCCAAACCCCAGACCACTTTGCCTCTCTGGAGGAACCTGAGACCCTTTAGTCATTTAACACATCAAAGTGAGCAGCTGACCCAGTTTACTGAGCCATCTGATCTCCACCAGAGATTCAGAACACCGCCTGCCTCCATCCACTCCCAAACCCAGAGAGAGAGAAAGGCAGACTGGTGTCAGGCAGACGCGTGTCAAGTCTGTGCACACGATACCTAGGCTGCGTGTGTGCATGTGTGCGCATGCGAGGTTGGCGAGGGGGGCTGAGCATGTGAGTGTATGAGAATTTTTCTACATTAAAAGAAAAACACAAAACATGCTTTCAGCTCCATCTTTCTTGGTGACAGCTGACCAGCAAAGCCCATTTGCTTAGCAATTTTGGTCAGCAATCTATGGTCAGAATCAGCTGCAGCAGAAGGGTAGCAGGGAGCAGCGCTGAAGAATGAGACAGGAGGGAGGAGGTGGGGAAGCTGGACCACCGGCACGCAGACCCGTTTGTGCGATTCTCTAGGACGGAGCTGGTGTGAACTTCTCCATCAGCCGGGCCTCTTCCTGTTGGAACACTTGCCCTGCATCTGGCTAGTCTACAGCTGATGCGAATAGTTTCCAAGAAGCCTTCACTGTAACCACGCCCACAGCAGGTTACCCGCCGCTGGGAAGCAGCTGGACCACAAAAGATCAAAATCAAAAGGTGTTCGCAGGGTGGTGGGAACAGAGCGGAAGATGCCTGGAAATGTTGTTACAACATTTCCCGATCTCCAAAGCTAAAACCTCTCTCTCGGCTGTGATGCAGAGAGAGACAAGGAAATTAACCAGAAGAAAAATCTCTATGCTGAGCTGGACCCAGGCCAACAGAATTCCCTCCCTCCCTCACCCCTGAAAGAAAATATAAGATCACTGGCACTGGGTCCTCACTGCTTGGGGGGAAAATCATCAGAACAGCCGTAACCAACAATGCTTGAGGTTCCTGCGTGCCATTTCCCAAGTGGTAAGTCTGTGAGGTGGGGGCTGTTTCCCTGGCTTTATAGAGATTCATTTGCCCGAGGTCAGAGCTGATAAGCCACAGATGGACGGATGCCTGATGTTGACTTACGTTAACCACTAAACACAGTGTCTCTCCACGTGGAGTCAGGGGGCCTCCTGAATCAAATCACCCAAGGGTCCCCGTGAAATGCACGCTCCTGGGGCCACGCCAGGCCCACCGAGTCAGATTCTGGGGGTGAGGACTAGAAACCTGGATTTTGAAAATCTTCCCGGGAAGAGCCTTCCGTGCACAGAAGTTGGTGAATCTCCTCACTACGTCCTCCTGGGAAGCTGAGTGAACGTAGGGTCTTCGGGGACTTTCTGGAGGCAAGGCAGTGAATCAGACTGCTCACTGTTTTGCATACCTGACAGCAAAAGAAAATTAGTTTTCCCTTCAAGCCCCAAGTGTCACCGGACCCCACCTCTGGCCCTGGGAAGAGGCCAGTGAAATTATGTAACGATTTTAACCGTGATCTACCACCTTGCCGCCGGAGGGGAAGACTGTTTGAGACCTCAGGTGGTGAGGGAGAGGGAAGAGGAAAGAGGATTGATGAACCATCGGCTGTAGCTGGAATGCTCTGGTGGAGACCGGGGCAGGGCCCCCCTCCCAGCCGGTGGCTGAGCACTTTCCTGCGTAATGTCTCTTTCAAATGAATGAGATGCGGCAGCCTCACCTCAGTGAGGAAAGCAGCTTGACTTCGCCTGTGTCATGTGCAAGCTCTCGGGTCCACCAGAGATCCTACGCGTGCCTGTATCGGCTGGGTAAAGCAGATGATGACTCCCTACCCCTGGGAATACAGGGAAGGGGAGGGGGAGGGAGAAGATGGAAATGAGCAGAGCAGAGGGAGAGGAGGTGTCCGCACTCTCGATATGCGGGAACATCACAGGGAGAACAGAGCAAACACTCTTGTAACGTTCAGAATTCTCAAAACACGTTAGAAGCAACTAATTTCACAAGGGCACCAGAGAGCTTCTCAACTTGACCTCTGTTAAAACACAAAGGCTTAGGAGCATAGGGTCCACTGACAACACAAGCACAGAAAGGTGTGTTCGTAAACGCTTTCGCTGATCCGTCACAACAGGATGTGAGCAGGAAGGGGCTGGAATGAAAGAGGCCCAGTGAGAGAATTAGTTAGGAGAGTTTCCCTGCTCTTCAGGTGGATGTCCATTCTAGCAAGAGCCATGCCATCTGCATCTTCTAGGACAGTGGTTCTCAAACCAGAGGGTCCCTGTTAAGCTTCGGGGCCCGTCAGATGGTCTAGGGGCTGCTGAACCCCTCATCTGTGCCTGCTTGTCCCCCAGCTGCGTTGTTTTCAATGGTAAACAGCAGCACGTTGGGCTGGTTAGACTGGAGCAAACACTTGCCAACCACGGCGGGTGTGTGACTGGGAGAAGCCCTCGTGGACCCTGGGCTACAAGATCCATCAGTCTAAGTGCTCACTGACCGAGACAGGAAGAAAAGAGTCCTCCTTAGAAGCAGAGTGTAAGAGTCAATAGGACTACCCAGCCTTACAAAAAGAATAAAATAATGCCATTTGCAGCAACATGTCTGGACCTGGAGATCATCATACTAACTGAAGGAAGTCAGATAGAGAAAGAAAAATACCATATGGTATCATTTATGTATGGAATCTAAAAATAATGCCACAAATGAACTTATGTACAAAACAGAAACAGACTCACACACATAGAAAACAAACCTATGATTACCAGGGAGGGAAAGAGGGTGGGAAGGGATCAACTGGAAGTTTGGGATTTGCAGATACGAACTACTACATATAAAATAGGTAAACAACAAGTTTATACTGTACAGCACAGGGGACTATATTCAGCACCTTGTAATAGCCTATAATGAAAAAGAATATGAAAGGAATATATGTATGTACATGCATGACTGATACATGATGCTGTACACCAGAAATTGACACAACATTTTAAACTGACTATACTTCAAGTTAAAAAATTTTTTTAATTTTAAAAAAAAATCAATATGGTAGGCATTTTGAATTTGTCTAGACGGTTATCAGTTTTTTAATCCTGACAAAATCCTGATACCCTCAGTGTCTATCACTCTGGCTGGTCCATGGTTAATACACGCTTGACGACAAGATCTCACTTCCTCTCACAGTAAGCCAAAAAAAAAGGCGAAAAGAGGGCTCTTTAGTAGACAATGATTGAGGGCCACAATTTGCAACAGACAGAGCCTTGATGGGGCAAAGCCATGTGCCCATGTCTGGAATAATTATTCCATGATAGGTGGTCGGGTTTTGTTTTGTTACGTCAGCCTGGAACTTCTGGTGTGGAGGATGTCACAGTTTCTGGAGGCGAGGCCACGCTTTTGATGTGATGTAATCAAAAGTACATAAGCGTCCACTGAAAGACGCTCTAAGCTCATCATGTTACCCTCCCATTTTCCAGTGGAAACCAGGGGTTATCCTGGCCCATTTCATAGTTTCTTGAATCTCAAGGAAAAATAAGAATTTTTTCCCCATTTTGCAAAGTGGGATGAGGTGAAGGTTAAAGGCAAACAAAACTGCAGGAGAAACACACTGCTGTCTAGTTCCCTGGCTCCCTCCCCAGCCAGGAGTCCACAAACACCAACCCACCTGGAACAGGATTCTAGGCAGAATTCTAACTGAACCCCGTTCCCAGGAGGGAAAAACAACAAAACAACAAGAACAACAACAAAATGAAGCTGTGCAAGTTCAGTCTGTGATGCCACCAGGTACACAGCCAGGTGTAGGCTAAGGAGCAGTAAGGAACAGTGTCCGTCCGTTTTCACTGCGTCACACCTGCAGCTGCAAACTCAAATCGCAGTGGTTTGTGACAACCAAGGTTTCTTCCTCACTCACACACACGGGAAGGGGAGGCCGGCTGCAGCTGCCCCCTGATGTCACCAGTCAGGTTCCCAAGCTTAGGGAGTTGCCCCTAACCCTACAGGGGACAGGCTATTCTTAAGCAGAAGGAAAAGAGAAAAATGGCCAAAGTATCACAGTGGCTTGGAAAACTTCCAGCTGGCCATGCAGGACATCATTTCTGCTCCCATTCCACTGACCGAAGCAAGTCCAAGGGCAAGCCCACTCTAGTGGGACGGGGAAGTATCCATCCACAGGGAGGCACTGGAAGTCCCCTGACGGTGGGCGGAGATGTCTAATCTTCTTACAGAAAGGGGAGAAAATAATTGAGGACCACGGTATACTCAGCCATGAGTCTCATAACAATTAATATTCCCTATGCAAGGAAATAGTGTCCATGCTCTAATTGACTTCGTGGCTTCCGCAACTAACAGACGCTTAGAGAGACGTAACTAGACGTAACTAGAGAGACGTAAGGCACTTCATCCTGTTCCCCATCGCCTGCACCTTGGCTGGGCACAGCTCTACCTCCTTCCCTCTCACTCACCATGTAGGGAAAGCGTGCCATTCCTCACCGCCAGGAACTTGACTCCATAGGGAAAGAAGGCAGCAGAGTGCGAACTCCCGTAGAGTCTGATGTGAGCTTTGCCTTGGAAGGGCTCGTCCTCGGATCCGACCCGGAGCTCTCCACCCTCAGAAACAAGGATGGCGTGCGCCCTGAGCTCCACGGGTCCTGGGCCCAGGAAGACCAGCTTGCCTCCTGATGGCCAAAGAGAAGATTGTCAGTCTCCAGGAAGATGAGGCATTCCTCCTCTGCACAGTTCCAATATCTGATGAATACTCCTCGTCTACCCACCTCTGCTGGAACACATACTTATTGTCTCTCGCCCTCTCTTCTAGAAGCCCTGTTGAGTGGATCAGACACCCAGGAGCAGAACCACTGTTTATATTACCAACCCTGCTTAAATTAGCTATCACAATTCCCTGCAGCTTTCTTTATATTATTTTCAATGACAATAACCTAAATGCCCAGAAATTTAGGACTGGTTAAATAGTAAAATGAGAAGATCGCCATTTTTACCATGTAATAGCAGCTTTAAACAGGAAAGAGGAATAGAAGGAAAATACGCCAAAATTATATGAATTGTGGTGAAAGGAAGTATAATTAGGCTGCATCATGACATTTGCTGCACTTTAGCTGACTAACATCCATTACCCCCCCCTTTTTTTTTTGATGACAGACCCTAATTTCCACAAGGAATTTTTCTGCTCCCTGAATAGAGCTGAGTGGGTGGGACTGTCAATCACAGTGTTTTATCCTACCATCGCCTGCGTCGTGTACCCAGGCTTCCAAAGGAAATCCGGGACAAAAAGGAAGAGGAGACTGGAAATGTTTCAGTCTCAGTAGTTCCAGTGGTGGTATCTTAACAGGCCTGAAATGAGGTCCTGTCTCTGAGATCCGCACCTGCCGAGCCCCCTCAGCATGCCCTGACTGCTATCTGCTTCTACACCTGATTTTTCCAGGCCTCCCGTCAATTCTGTAAGATCCCCAAAACCCTCCCAGTACATCTCCTTTTTTAAAGGAAACTTGGTTTCTGTCATCTGCAATGAAATAACCTTAACTAGTAAGGATGTTGTTTTGTTCTGTTGTCCAAATATTCTATAATATAAGAATATTATTTTATAATACAATTGCTTTATATTATGAAAAGACATACTTAACATATTAAAAGGCATATTCATCTTCATAATACTTTTCTTTAAAAGTATTTAGTATATTTGCATTTCACACAGAATCCTTCCAATGATGCCAAAAGAATTAAAACATCCCATATACATCAACACTTTAACCTGAACGAGCTATCAAATTGATCTCACTCCTCCAAGTTGGAAAAAAGCATGAGACGAGACTTTTCTGTTCTATAATGAAGTGGTCAGACGTGTGCCATTCTATTGGAAACACCAAGGGATCTCTTTTCCGAACCCTACAGTAGCTCCCAATCTCACTCAGAATAAAAGTCAGAGTCCTTATACTGGGTCACGAGAAGGTCCCTCCTGACTCCCCACCCCACCTCCCATACCCGTCCCAGCATCTTCTAAAGTTCACTCTTTCACTCATCCACTCCAAAGGCACTGGTCCGCTTGTTGGTTCTGAAACAACCAGATACCCCTGGAACGTCTCCTGTCAGACACCCATGGGGCTCACCCCTCACCCCTGCTCCACCCTACCCCCACTCCACCGCATCCCTGTTTCCATGCAGATGCTGACTTCTCCCTGACGACCTCCCTCTCCAGGCTGGATCAAATAGCCTACCCTGGCCCCTTATGCACAAACATCTTCCTTTATACCACTTAGCATCAGACATACTATACACTTATATGTCTGCTGTCTGCCCTCCCCTCACTGGGACGCATGCTTGACAAGGGCACTTCCCTGCCTGGGTCACGTCCGCATTCCCGGTGCCTAGGGCAGTGACTGGCGGGGAGCTGGCCCACCACAGACAATTGCTGGGTAAATGAATACGTGGTTACATCCCTTAGCAAAATCTGTTTCAAGTACATGAATTTCCTCATGGACACACACACACACACTCCCATTTTCTCAGAAAGGGTGATTATTACATTGACTCTGTTAAGTGCACACACTGTCTCAGTGAGCTGAAGGTTGCCCAGGATGTGAGGAAGGCACCTGTCAGGAATGGTTCAAAAGGCAGATTCTACTGTAAGAAGGAGGAATAGGCACTTCACCTACTAAGTGGATCCAACGTGCCAAATCGTGTCCGACTGTTGTTTTCAGAAATCGTAACTGCAAGTACTTAACCACGTGCTGGAGGAGGGAGGGAGGAAGAAAAAGGCCAAGGGGACTCTGGTTTCTGATTGCCTGCATCTTAGTGCAGAGATAATGACCAGCACATATTCGACCCAAGAGTCCAACGTGGAGGCCCCTCCTCCCCGACCTCCTGTTCTAACCCTCCTCTCCAGCTTCCCCGGCCCTCGTCACCAGCCATCCTAAAGCCCAAGGCACACAGCGCCAGAAACATCGCAGAGCGTCTACTTGGACCTTGCCCCTTAAAGTGCTCCTCCCTTTCAGCTGCAGTTTAGAACAACACACCCACATGGGTGTCCATTTTCACCATCTGTGAAATGTTCATGACTGGAATTCTTCCCTCAGAGAATCATGGTGAGATTTCTCACAGTGATGCTGGCGGTCCCTGGTCCTGGGTCTGACACCTGGTAGACACTTAATGCAGTGGTGTCCGCCGCTGTCGTCACCTTCATCCTGGTATTAGTACAACTTAGTTTCCACAGCTGCTCCATCACGGCAGCTCTGCTGGACCACCTCCTTCCAACACCTCACCAGGAGCTGCCCTGACATTCCTTTTCAAATATGGCGTACATATCACGTTGTAAGGCAAACGACCCAAGAAGTAACTCTCCTTTGATAATCTATAGCTTGATACGAGTGAGTGAGTGGCCCCCACATGCTTACCAGACATCCAAAGGGCCTACTGACAATTTTCCCTTTCCTCTTCATCACAATGACAAGAATAATCATTAGAAATGCAATAATAATCACAAATCCTGCACTGAACAAGAGGGAAAAAATGTGACCGCTGGTCCCAGCCACATTCTTGTGTTTACCAGAACTTTTTCACTCATAGCCACATGTCATTAATGTCCTAACTGATTATCTTCAACAGATGGACCACGGGCTGGACAATGGGTCCTACCATTGTAAACAGTTAGGAAATCTGAACCAACATTGATGCACAAGTGATGGAGACAGGACACTGAATCCAGGTTCCTCTCCTGACTCTGCTATTGGCCTCTGAATGACCTTCATAAAAAGTCTCACAAAATTGCCTGGCCTCAGATTACTCAGTTTCCAAATCTGTCCCACTCAGGGCTGAAGGATGGTCTGTCTGCTCACCAGTAATGTGCCAAACAGAACCCTGTATTCACTGAGGATCCTCCCAGCTCTAGAACATTTGACATCTGCATCTTCAGAGAGGCAGTCAAGTGTGCATTTGACACTGATGGAGACCCGGAGCTCAGGTTCTCCTGACCCCACCTATGTCACAGGGAACTCTGAATATCACTTGAGAAGGGTTATTACCTGCACAATCAGGAATTTAAAGAAGACTATGGGTATTCAAAAATATACATGCACCCCAATGTTCATAGCGTCACTATTTACAATAGCCAAGACATGGAAACAACCTAAATGTCCATCAACAGATGACTGGATAAAGAAGCTATGGTATACTTATACAATGGAATACTACTCAGCCATAAAAAAGAATAATACAATGCCATTTGCAGCAACATGGATGGACCTGGAGATCATCATTCTAAGTGAAGTAAGCCAGAAAGAGAAATAAAAATACTATATGATATCATTCATATGTAAAACCTAAAAAATAAAAAGGCAAATCAATTTATCTACAAAACAGACACAGACTCACAGGCATAGGAAACAAACTTATTGTTACCAGGAGGGAAGAGGGTGGGAAGGGATAAACTGTAAGTTCTAGATCTGCAGATACTAATATATATAAAATAGATAAACAACAAGTTCATACTGTTTAGCACAGGGAACTATATTCAATATTTTATAGTAACTTATGGTGAAAAAGAATATGAAAACAAATATATGTATGTTCATGTATGACTGAAGCATTATGCTGTACACCAGAAATTGACACAACATTGTAAACTGACTATACTTCAATAAATATGTGTGTGTGTACATATATATACACACGCACACATACACACACCCAAAGAAATTATACTGGTTCAAGACCTAAAAAAAAAGAAGAAAAAGAAGACTATGGGGAAAACAAGGGAGATAACATGTCCTGAGCACCTACCATATGCTCATATATTTAGCTGTGTTGTCAGAAATGACCTTCCAAACAAGCCTAGGAGGTCAACACCACGCTCGGTATTTCACAGAGCAGACGGTGGGCTGGGGGAGGCAGAGCGAGCATTAGAACCCAGGACCACCTGACAGAGAAGCCCACATCCTATCCACTTTGCAAACCCTCCCAGGTAGCTTTTTCATTAGTGAGGATTGGTATTGTAGATGCATTTAAGGAAAAACAGGTGTTAACTTAAGTAGGTTTGCTTACGGCTTGTTTCTAGGTGGTTGATTTTAATTTTGTTAATGTAGATACACCTCGCCTCATTCCAAAAAGGATTTGAGGCCGATTACAGGGATTAGCGGGTAAATTTATAAACCCAGGCTTTGTCCCTGGTACCATCAAGCAAAGTATTAAACACACAGAAGCAAACTGGTAGAAATTATAAAATGTCATTTACTGGTGGGAATTAATAATGATGCTAATAAAGGGAGAAAAACTCAGCGCAAAGAGATGAATGATTTGTGTTGGCAAGAGTGCTACAAACAGGACTAATTAATTAATGTGATAAGGATTATTTCCTGCTAAAAAGCCTTCCTGCCTCACTTTATCAGAGGCAAGTATGTGTAAGGAAATCCAGGTGAATAAGGAAGAGAGGTTGATGTTGGAATTCAGCTGTTTTCGATTAAAAGAATCGTTGTGATAACCAAAGTGAAAGAATGGAAAGCTTATATTTTTTTAATTATTGAAATTTAATTTTATTATTATTGTCTCAGTGGAGGCACTGGGGATTGAACCCAGGACCTCGCACGTGCTGAGCATGCGCGCTACCGCTGGGCTATACCCTCCCCCTGGAAAGTCTGTATTTAATCCACCTCTGTGCCAAGGCTCCGAG